TAACGTTGAAATACTGAAAATGCAGCACAGTGGTGAAATCAAGAGGATGATCAAGAAATGGATGGTTGATGATACACCCTGTTCACCATTAGAYAATCTTAGGAACAAACCGGGTATGGGCATTCGTCTACTGAGTACCTTATACGAGAGCTGGATTTTAAGTCATACAAAATGTTTAAGATCTTCGTAAAAGATTTGTAAAGATAAATTGCAAGCGCGCATCAAAATGTGCTACAAAGTTCCTTTCCTTGTAGGTACGTTCATACCCAGAATACCTGGATTCCATACGCGCGCCTTCGATATTTATGAGATAGCCATCGGATCTCCGAAAACGCATTTTTTTCCTTTCAAAGTTGCACGAGCAGCCTGAGCGTTAATCGCATTTTACTACATCTGTGGCCTGTGCCTATGCACTATTTAAAAATTGCATAGGCACAGATGTAGTTTAGACATTATAAGGTGTAAGTCAATGGTGTCAACTTCTATCTCATTAGGAGGATCGGATACCAGTAGAATGGGTGTTATGAACATGCTGGGAGTATTTATCCTTATGATAGCTGGAGTGGTTGTTGGGTTTGTTTTAYTGATCCTAGAATGGTTTACAGCTTCTATTGGTGACTTTTCCACAGTAAGTATTTATTCATGGTTATTAATCACCATTATACATCTAGTATTTTGTTATATATCAATTCATCTGTCCATCAATTATATATAATTTAGCATCATTGGAACATGTTGGAAAGATCATTGGATTTTTTATATGTCGCATTTCATTCGGTTTGTCTATCATTCATTTATTTCTTTTTTTTAGTTGTAATTGTATTGTTTTCTAAACTTATAGACAAATCAGTCCTCTCTATACCCTGGGAACCAGAGGCTGGATTTACTCGTTCTTGTAGTTTATATACTGCGCGAAGCGCCGTCCTTGAGGCCGAAGGTTCGGCCTTCGGCCTCAAGGACGGCGCTTCGCGCCGTATATAAACTATAAGAACGAGTAAATCCAGCCTCTGGTTCCCAGGGTATCCTCTCTAACAATGCCGTACAGATCAATCCCCATCCCCCCTCCCCCTAAATGTTCATATCGTAATCCGCTGTTCGTTTATGCGAAAGTGTTTTCGTTTCAGAGAAGAATATCACTTTCAGAAGCTCTAAGTTGCCGAGTTCAACGTCTTCYCAAGCACATCAAGAACCCACAGGCAGTGAAATTAGAGACGAAATGCGACGTAAAATTCACAGACAGTAAAGCAACACAAACACAATCACAACAGAACATCASCGCTGAAAACACCCCATACTATGCTCGTAGAATGAAGCAAAATTCCTATCAACCAACAGGGGAGTCTTCTGGTCGGAAAAGAGTGATGTTAAAAGACAAACCAAATACAACAGACTTTTTCTACAGACAAAACGGAAAATTTAGTTATCCCATCMGAGAAAAACTGGACTCCAAATCCACGAATTCTTCTGCACCGGAGAAAAAATTGCTTCTTTCGAATCGAAGTTCTAGAAAAAGTCCAAGTATAAACGTCTGAACAGCTAATATCATGGATAGAACATGAAATATTTGATTTAGGATTTAATACCATCTTTGAGATCAGCCAACATGCATCGGCTGAACTATGAATCCTTGGGTCCCGCACAATTATACAATAAAGGAAGGAACGTCCACGTTAGTCTATTCTGCTTATACGCTAAAACGCCGGTAAAAGTATGACATATATACCTAAGAGTGAATTTCACTTTCTTCATAATGAAAGGAASAAGRATTTACTGAAGCTWGGCGCAACTAATTAAAACTCCTAGGATTGCCACCATTGATTAGAAGACTTTCCATCGCTGAGCTTTCAAGTTGGTAAGCCAGTGAAAGCCAGTAAAATATATAAAGAAAATGCCTCATATTCTTGACAAACAGCGCTTTTTGACAAAATAAAATTTTTCAAATTTTGTATCGTGTCAAATCGTATTGCGCTGATATTTTTGAAATAATCTCGATATCAAAAATAGTCGAGAGAAAGACGGGAGTCGAGAGAAAGACGGGATGCAAATCGAAGAAATTACCAAACAAAAGCCAATGAAAATAGCTGATATCATATACCAAAGTCCCGGTATGAGCCATGGCATATGCCTCTGCAACACCCTTAAAGAAGTTGATGGGAACTTTTTTTATTGCGTGTTCTCGTATCACGTTGCAGCAACTTGCAAAGTCATCGTATAGTGTACCACACTTCCAGCARCTTCTCGCAATTTTCGAGTCACGTACGCGGTTAAAGCAAGCTTAATAACTTCTCATTTCGAATGACCGTCATCTTGACTCTCAGGCTCCCAGGTACCTTGTCCAAAAAATATTACAAGTTGCTGGGCAAAATTGCAAAATCTAACAGGACTATAATTCTCTGTTGATATAATAGGCAAAATTACACATTGTAACAGCGCCTGAGTGCTTTTCTGACTGTGTCGTAAGACAGTTACGAGAAAGAACAATCGCTTTAGAGATTAGAAGGGATTAAGAAGATACATGAAACTGCTTTTCTTTGTTTGTTCTTTTGTCGTTGTTTCATTGAGAGATTTTGCAATCGTTATAGTTCATTTATCMGCTTTAACGGTGACGTCATACTGCTATATGTTTCTTTTCTTTTGTTCTCGAGTTTTACTGATACTGTACAGAGCGTGTAGTCTGCATACGGTTTCTGTGGTTTCTCAGTTTAGCTCTGGATTTACAAATTGCGGTCGCAAGACACAAAATTACAGAAACATATTTCATGTGTCCGAGACATGTTGGTGACAARTGTACTTGCACTGGAAAAAATCGCGCGCTTTAAAAGTTGTAGAATTTGATGTAAATATGATGTAAGTGTCCAAAATTCTGTAAATTTGATGTAAATGATTTCCATTAAATTTACAGAATTTTGGACACTTACATCATATTTACATCAAGTTTACAACCTTTAAAGCGCGCGATTTTTACCAGTGAATTGTATTAGTACCTTATGTCGTCATGAAAACCAGGGCCGGGTTGTTCAAAGCTCGATTAGTACACTAATCTTATAGGTTAAACTCTTAAAAAAACTATGGAGTTAACCCTGGATTAACGTTAATCGAGCTTTGAACAACTCGGCACAGAAGACACAGAACACATCTGTGAAAAACTATTAGTAAGATCAAAATTGTACTACTTAAACGATGGAAACGAAGACGGCCGAAAAACGTTCTGTTGATCGACAAAAGAAAAAAAATCTTCAATGGATTTTACTAAATAAACTTCGAGCGCTTGCCTGATGTCTAAACAAATTAGTAAATAAACCATTTCAAAGATATGGTGAATATAATGTACTCCATTATCGTCTACAATAACGCTAAATGGATATTAATAGGTTGTTTCTATATTTAACAAGCATAGGTAAAAGTGTTGTTTGCTATTCACATAGTTACTAACACATGCCTTGTGTACTCTACTTCTCTGATGTACTACGTCTTTACTAGTCAGATGCACTCAAATTGTTCTTCAGTTTAGTTCTATCAACCACAGTACACGCTATACATCTACAATGTGTGCTATCAACACTATCACCTCTRTATGAAGTATGACTACCCACTCGCAAATACCGACAATCGCGAATTCCTTCGAACAAGCTAGTTAGTTCTAAAAGTGACATTTTGCCGATGTCYTTTTTCTTTTGTCGATTRGCAATGGTACTCAACGATTCTTTTATCTTTCTCCAACGCTCTCTCGCTTTCTTGTTCCCTTGTTCGCCATCTTTTGGCAGGACTGTTGTTATKGATGGCGTTGGCCAACGATYTTCTGTTGATTCTTCGTTGATGTTTGTGTTTTCTTGCATGTTTTCTTCGGTGATCTCTTCCATTTTGTGTGTTACGTAGCAACTGACCTTTCTCGCGAGRKTTGCTGATTTYTGAAGTTCRTGGACYGATAGTTTATGTCGGATAGCTTCACGTTGCTCTTCTTCGCGATTACCATAGAGATACTCATGGACGGACGGCTTGTTGTATTCACTGATGCGGCGCTTGCGATGAGGGSCCTTGCTTAATAGCTGGTCATGATCACTTGTTGAAAGTTTTTCCAGCTTTCCTGCCTGCTGTAAGTAAAATCCTTGCGGCTGTGCCTCTGTTGTGACACTGGAACTAAAAACGGGTGGAAGAGGGTTTGGGTATTTGGACAAACTGCGTAAACTTGATGGTACTGTGGAKGACTTTCGAGATTGCGTCTCTTTAGGTGTATTTGTGCTTTCCTCGTTGTCTRCAGGTTTGACAGCTCGAGTTAACGTAACTTTTCTAGTCGGTACGTTGTCGTCTTTTCTTCTCCTCTCATCAAACCTTATCGCAGGCATCATTCTGAGCTTTGCTTTTAGGAACTTTTCCTGTTTCAAAGACCACGTATTCATGCTCTCCCTCCGTTCGCGTTGTAATGTACTGACTTTACTTTTTAAATCATTTTCTCTGGTTTTGTTAACATTTACGGCACGACGAAGAGAGTTGCTCACCTTCTCCAAGGGGTCTCGAGGTTCGTTCATGACTTGATTTTAAAGGCTCCAAAAGACTTTCACTGGTGAAAATTCAAACTACTGACACTCCTGACCACCATAATCCTGAAATGTTCTTACTCACTCTAATACTACATTAACAGATTTTACTACGCAAACATTGAGCTTTCAGGTTGTTTATCATGTCAATCATCTTTTTAATTAACTGAATAAAATGTGCTTTATAATGGCAGTTTATTAGCATACTGCTAGAGAACAAGGTTATTGTACAGAGGATAGTATGACTGACTTTGTTTAGATATGTTAAGATCTACTGAGTCTAAACTATAACCTTGTGTCAGATAATTACGGCTATAGTAATCCACAATCACGTAAATCTTATCAGCATAAAACAGGCCAAAATCCTTGTTTAAACAGTCTTTCGAATACAAGTAGGTCTTTTCAACGTGCGAAAACGATGATACCGATCTATCCCAATCAGCTGAACATTTAGTGGATATTTCGACGGAATATACACATTTGTTAGATATTATGGACTTAGTAAAGTAATTCTTTTCTCAGCGACTAGGTAAGTACATAATGTGTTTCAGTCATTGACGTGGGATCCCTGTGTTGACGGGGAGTCATGGGAACCGAGCGGAAGCTTTCTTGAGTGAGCATAAAGTAAAATATTCCTAACTCGTTATTCTCATGGATGTCGAGTCGAACACGAGAACACTACTTTTAAAGTTTTAATCATTTCTATGTGCTGCAAAGTATTATCATTTTAATTAAATAACGCTAAAATCAAAAAAATCAACTCAACCACTTTCATGGGTGCCATGGCGATTAGCAGTTGCCAAGTGACGAACTTGAAAGAAATTCTGAATGTTCATTTGAAACGTCACTGGAACTTTCTAGAATATCAGTTAGGACAAATCAACTCTATGACGTCATCCTTGGCTATAAATAGCAACGCGCGCTAATTAGTAATTATCATTTTGACATAATCTCATTACGAGAMAAGATGTTGATTTTGTACAAAAGTTATTCAAAGCGAGCTTTTCCAAAGCAAAGTTTTTAAAACATGGGTTGTGCAGCTTCATGTTTTTCTAAGGACAAACAAGGTACAATAACTAATTGCACAAAGAAACCAAATCAGGAATAAATTCAATGGTTAAAATTTTGCTTTCATTTGTTTTTCAGCTGTTGCAAACGCAACCAAAAATTCAGCCAGCAAAGATAAAGACAAAAATGAGGATAATGCAGAGAAGGTAAACTGGGATTATTTAAGGAGAGTCGCCATAAACGAGCAACAATTTTGAAAACAAATGGGACCAAAGGCAAAGTGTAAAATAGTATTTACGGACCAGGCGATGAATCCTACATCCTATGCATCTCAGAAAACAGTTCGAGAAAAATAAGGGCATTTGGAGTGTCGCAGGACAATAGAATAATAACTAGATACAAAACTAAGAATCTGAGCTAAGAGAGAATGGCAGCAAAGTCTGTCTGTGCCATGATAGAGGAAAACTGAAGGTCCACAACTTTATAGAACTTATGGCCGAAAAGGGTTGTATCAAACGCAAAAGTACACATAATCTTACCTCCAGCATTTTGAGGTCTTCTGCAGTCTTATACACATTCTCTGTTCCAAGGAATAAAGAAATTTTCTAAGTTTACAGTGCTTTTCGATTTGGAATCAGTACTTTGAAAACGTTGTAGACCGTGTAGAGACTGGAGCGACACTTAGCAGCCCAGCCTCCTGTCAAGAAGATTGCAGTGTTTTATGTTGTGGCGCGAAAAACGAGAATACATTTTCACAACATTTATTAGGTGTAGAAGATTTATATTTCATTTTTAGTAATTCTTACAAGTTTATACATGTTTCCTTGCTTCGCTAATAATAGTTTTTTCTGTATTCTAAGGTRAGCCAAACAAGAACAGCTTCTTCTTCTCTCCAAGTCACCTCAAGCAGTTCTTCGGATAACGATGGCGGAGCCTGGTCCCAGTAAGTGTTTTCGAACAAAATTATCCACCGAATATTTTTCTAGACTATGTTTTGCATTCTTTTCTCTGATTTTGAACGTGCAATTTTCCAAGTTGAATTCACAAAAGAATAGTAGACGTTTGTGGTGCCTAAGAGGTACAAATTTATAACTTTTGTGTGACATGGTGTAATCGGACACCAAAGACTCACGTGATTGTAAAAGAGGTCAACAGAGGGATTAGATAGTGAGTATAGAGACAGCGAGTGGATCGAATGTAATGAGTGTTGTACTGAACAAGAAAGCGAATAAAAACAAGATTTCAAACACACTATAGTGACTGAAAAGTAGAGCAATTTGGACCCGGTAACATAAGCTTAAGCTTAAATTGTTTAAAAAAAAAATACTCGCGCTTACAACTCTTATTTTGCAATTGGGAGCTGCACAAAAAATTGAAAAGCGATCTAAGTATCGCTACAATA